TAGCGTCAGCTATCGGATGCAGATTTGTGTGAATTTGTTACCCTCAAGGAGGAGTTAAACCAGCTGCAAGTGCGAGGTGAAACATATTGGTAGCAGAGGTCACGTGTTCTTTGGTTGTTACGAGGTGATAAGAATACTTCGTACTTAATTCCATGCCAGAGCCACGGGTCGACGTAGGAAAAGTTTGATTCAGGGACTTACTTTTGAGACGAGAACTTGGGTTGATGATTTGGACGACCTTCACCGTGTGGCTGTCACGTATTTCGAGTCTCTCTACCGTTCTTCTATCTTCTTGCAAGCAGACGCCATACTAGATTGTGTTACCCCTGGATGTTATTTCGCTTTGTCTTGACCTTCTTTCTGGGCGGGTGCCAACGGTTGCTGTCAACCAAACTATTCTAGTTTTGATTCCCAAGATCGATTATCCGACATGGATGAAGCACTTCATCCCAATTGCTTTGTGTACTGTCATTTATAAGATAGTTTCTAAAGTGTTGGTTATTCGACTTAAACATTTGATGCCTGCATGTATTAACGACAATCAAGTAGCTTTTGTGTCAGGGCGTAAATTTATGACAATATTTTAGTTGCACATTAAATTATTTACTATCTGAAATCTGCTACGCGAGTTTCCTCATGCGGTGCTGCACTGAAGTTAGATATACAAAAGACGTATGATAATGTCGAGTGGCCTTTTCTGCAGGCGATGATACTCAAGCTTGGTTCGATCCTCCTTGGGTCACACTTATAATGTTCTACGTGACATCGGTCTCATTTTTGTTCGGATCAATGGATCGCTTACGGAACAATTTCAATCGGGACAGAGCCTTCGTCAAGGGGATCCTTTGTCTTCGTTTTTGTTTCTCTTTCGCATGCAATATCTCTTCGCTATCCCACATTTTGAACTGTGGGGGAGTTGTATTTGGGGCATTCGGACTTATCAAAATGGCCCTCGAGTAACCCATTTGTGCTATACGGACAACAACTTGCTATTTTTCTGGAATTCGGAGTCTAAAGTACGACATTTATGGGAAGTATTTGACATATATGACTTAGTTTCGGGGCAAAATGTTAATAATGTGAAATCTAATATTTGTTTCGGCTCTCCTGCTACAATGGTGGAAATAACCATTATTTTTGGTATTCTTGGTATTAGTATCGTGGACAACCCTAGTAAATATATGGGTATGCCTTTACTCATTGGGCACAACAAATTTGTGTTTGGTTTCCTTCGTGATAAGGTGGTCGCCTGAATTCGTGGATGGATGAAGAACCTACTTTCTTAGGGTGACAGAGAAGTCTTCATTAAGTTCGTCTGGTAGGCATTACTAACTTATGTCATGGGTTGTTATTTAATACTTGAGGAGTTGTTCGACGAAACTGTTATTATCCTTTGAGATTATCAGTGGTATGAGCGTGGTTGACTGCTCCTTGTTTGGTCTATTCTTTGTAATCGAAGCGGGTTGGTAATCAGGTCTGGCATTCCATAGAGTCTTTTGATAGCTTGATTGCACGTGTATTCTCTGTAAAATACTTCCGTCAGGAGTTGTGACCCGACTAACTGCGGCTCGTTAGGAGTTTGTTGCGAGGTATTGATCTTAAGTGACATCTTGAGCCACATCGAAAGTACCGAAGGTGGACAAGTTTATAGAAGCTTACTGTGACAGACTGGTGTAATATTGAGAGGAACTATCCAAGCCCATGTAAGGAGCTTTGGATTTCATTCGGAAGATTGAAGCTTCCATAAAGCAGAGGATCGAAGTTTTGCTCGTGTAGCTGCGGATGCTGATGTTAGTTTAAGCTTGTTCTTAGTATCGTTTTGTCGTAATTTTGGTGATAGATTCCGTGGATTGTTGTTTGTGCTGTTTGATCCGAGTTCTATGTACTCTTTTTCTTCATTTAGAATTAGGAAAGTTTTTAACTAGACATACAATCGTGGTAGCTTTTATTCAATTATTAATAAATTCATCTTACCGGACAAAAAAAATCGTTATGGTACTATATTGGATGCTACAATTGGAGATTGTTAGAACATTCCTTTAGAAACCTAGATTGGAATTCGACTTAAAGTGAATAATTTATCTTTTTGGAGTCGCTACCGACCTTTTGAGTTAGGTAGAGTTAGATATCTTAATATTATCTTTTTACCGCATCTACATCTTATCAAAGATTCACTTGGAATAATTCGAAAGTCAATTACGTATAAGGAATGATAAGTACCCCAAAATACCCAGAATTGATACCAACACAATTATATATTATCTTAATAGTGAAAATTAAAAGTTTGAACCACAATTTAAAGAAAATGTCCTTTTACTTAATTTTGAGAGTTTACTACAACAAAATAAAAAAGAGACAACGTATTTTAAATAAAAAAGTAACTTAAAATTGTGTCTAATCAAAAAAATAAAATAAAAGATCACGAATATCAAAACAAAAAAGTAATATAAAATATAAATTAAATTAACTTTGATAATAAATAAATAAAGGTTATACTATACGAAATTTAAAAGGTATATGAAATAAATACGGAAAAGAATAATAAATACTAAGACTCTAAAAAACAAATTTTAGAATACTAAGTTAAAATAGAAAGAAAATCAAATTACAATAAAAAATTACAATAATAAGAAAAAATGGAAAAATAATCACATTTGGAAAAAATAGAAACAAATGCTGAAATTGAAGTAAATTAAAAAGAAATAAAGGGAAATGAGTTACATTAGAAATAAGTTTTATTTCTTTCGTTTTGAAAATTTTGGATAAAAACAAAACCACAAAAATTTTCATCTTTTTTCTAGATTTACATCGATTTTCCCCGAAAACCTAAAAGAAGATTACTTCGAAGATATTTGTTAATATAAAGTTAAAAAACGACATAAATCGGTTATAATCGAGAATTTTAATAAGAACCTAACTTTTAGGTTGGATAAAGTACATAAAATTTTCGTTTATAAGCCGTAAACTTCTCGCAATATAACTTTTCGATTACAATCGAAAATATTACATTTTTCATAATATTTTCGATTGAATATGATAACATTTTAGGTTGAAAACCGCCTTAAATTAGGTTGTGGCACAATAAAACTATTCTAAGAAGAGTACTTGTTTATATGCATAAAAAAACTCTAAAAAGAGAAACTTAATATTATTTTTTTCTCTCCCAATTGTACAAGAAGAGTACTTATTTATAAGCCTCCAATTTTTTAAAAAAAGTATATATAATATATTTTATATTAATATTAGATACATAACTTTAAAGAAAATAAATCTATCGAGGGGCCAAATTATGGGTGCTTTTTTATTTCATGCGTCATACTCGAGATGGATAATACCGTAGCTGTCAAATTGTTGAGGAATGAAGTAACGTGGATTGCTCGAATGGCATGTAAGAGCTGTGAAAAGTAGAATGAGCAAAGAACGGAATGAATCAAAAATCAAATTGAAATATTCTGATAATTAATGGCTTAATTATTCAAATCAAATTAAATTTTAATTTTATACAATTTATAATTAATTTTTATAATATAAAAATAAATATTTCATATTTTAAAAATAACTTTAAAATATTATTTATATTCAAGATAGTTACTAAAAACCTTAAAAAACCAATATGCAAACAATGTCTTGTACCACTACAAAGTCCATTGTTTCCGGTAACCAGTTGTCTCCTCTTTCTTTTCTAATTACATTACCAATGGATGAATGAAGTGCCCTTAGATTCCTTCTCTGTACCTAATATTCACAGCTGCCAAGATTGCAGCTATCATCACGTCTGCTAAATTCTTCAACGTCTACTTAAAAGTCTGGAATATCAATTTTTGGAGTCCAATTGGAATCTCTTTTATGGTAATGCAATGATTCTCCGCGTGGAATATCAAGTTGAAAGGATGGATATGAACGTTTTGGAATAAGAATTTTTTTTATTAGTATGGGTGATTACAATGTAATATATGTTCGAAAGATTTTGAATTATCTAACAATGAACATTCAAACATCATTGCAGACGTCGTGCTCGAACCCAATATCTATAGGAATAACAACCATCGCTTTAGCCGCTTAGGTTGCTTGGAATAAGAATATTAAACCCAAGTTGGGAGGCTTCCTTTTATTAGTTTAGATCCACGAATTCAATTAGAAGTGATATTCACTTCGTCTTCCAAGTTGATTCCTTCTTAGGCAAGCAAGGTTATAATTAAATAGAGGCACCCGACAGAGAAGGTCATATCAGAAACAGTTTCACAATTTCTTACCCAAACATCCGAGGAGATGGTGAAATTGAGTTTCATCGAGTTCAATTATGGTGCTCTTCCGAGGAACTTGTCAAGAAAACCAAGTAACTCGAGCATCAGCAGGGAAAGACAAAGCTCGAACGTGTCATCAAGGAGTTACCAGCCAAATATTAAGGAAATGAAGTGGGTATTCGACAAATTCGACGCCAACAATGATGGCAAAATCTCGAAAGATGAGTACAAATCAGCTATGAGAGTGATGGGGAAAGGAGTTGCAGAAAGAGAGATGGAGAAAGCATTTGCTGCCATCGACACCGATGGGGACGGCTACATCGACTACAAGGAATTCAATCAGATGATGCATAACACGGGAGAAGGGATCAACGGCAAGGACATCCGAAGCGCGTTTCAGGTGTATGATATAGATGGCGATGGGAAAATAAGTGCAGAAGAATTAATGGCGGTGATGAGGAAGATGGGAGAGAGATGTAGCTTGGAAGCTTGTCGTAAAATGATAAGAGGTGTGGATGTTGACGGGGATGGTTTAATTGACATGAATGAGTTTATGACCATGATGACTCGCACCATGAAGCCCCTCTAATAATCGATCTGGTGTTATTTTAAATACATCTTCTTCTTTTTTCTAGATTTGTAATAAATATTTGCAGTTTTCAGAATAAAGAGCATAAATCAATAGCATACAACAAAACGAAATATGGTTCATAAAATAGAACAGATAAACAAAGAACAACGAGTTGAAACTGTTGCGGAGGTCTGAGTATAATCATCTTGTCATAGGTCCTACGACGGGAGCAGCTGTAATCCCTCTGCTTTGTCGATCCACGTTTGCTTGCCAACCTTGAACCCAAAATTTTATTTAGGAATGAAAAGCAATGACAAAATAAAAACTCTAACCAGTCCTACTAGTTTCTTATCAAGTGCGAGACATTCAAATTATGATTATATTTAACTTTACCAAAATATTATAATGGAGTTTAAGTATTAATGTCATATAAATTAAATCTTTCTGTCAATTCTAAGCATTAAATGCTGGTTCAAATATAATTTAGAGAATATTTAAGACATGAATGAATCAACATGCAAAGCGCAGCCAACTTACCGATCCCCATATCAAATCCACGGTTCTTGAGCTCTCTATATTCTTGACAAAGTGAGCAAGTCTCGCAGCAGAAATGAACCAAGCAATCAGCACAAGGAGCCTCTTCCAAATCATATTGTCCTCTCAATCTCGACCTATAAACACATGAATACAAGCAGGAAAACCCTGTAAGAGCCAGCAATCCATAAACCCCACCACTTGCTGCACAAGCTGCAAACACAAATTGTTCACACAATTTAGTTCCTGCAGGTTTAAAAAATGGTCTTAAATTGGGTATTTCAGAAGCTTACAGATAGAGCCTTTGTTAACGATTTCAGCAAGTTGTCCAAAGGTAACACAGGGACAGAAACAAGTGATGAAACAATTGGCAGGGTCATCACAACAATGGCAAAGGCCAGTAGACCACGTTGTAGCAGCACTTGCTATTCCACGGAAGTGTGAGACATGGGAAGGAGGCATGTTCATGGGGGCAGTTGGGAACCCTGTTGGTGCATATTTTGCATTGCCATGAGCTGAAGAATACATTTCTTTCTTGTGATCAGCTTGGAGTTTGTGGCAAGGAAAAAAAAGGAAACTTGTAGCTAAAAAAGAAGACATTGGTTCTCAGATTTTAAACCCCGTTTCCAAGAAAGTACTGCTCCAGAGTTCAAAATCAAAGGCTTTGAAAACGATGGTCCCGATGCAAGTAAGTTGAACCTTCCCCATGTGAAGTATCCCTAGCGAGATGGGGAGGGGGGGGGGCCTTACATGGTTGCAAAAATCTAGGTTGGTTACTGCTTACTAATTTCTTATCAAATCCTCAATTAACCTCGATTCGGCTTGCTAGAAATCCTCACCATTAAGTTAATAAACATGATGCCAAGCAATCCAAACACCAATAATTGAATCAAGTGTGCCCTTTGTAAAGATAAGCAAATCATCAACAAAGCATTGGTGTTGTAATATCCTTGTATTTTCGAAATTTTTTTAGTTTGATGATCGAAAAATTATTTTTATTGAATAAACTATTAAATTAAATATTGGGATTTGTGTGCCATTCATTTTGGTTCGTTTGATTGAAAGGGAATTTGATCAAAAAATTTAAATGATAATCGATAAGTGAAATGAAAATTGAAGGACTGATTTGTAAAACAAAAGAAAGTTAGAGATCTGCATAGTTAGTTCTCCCTAAAGACCAATTTAGTGGGTTTGTTGGAATATATGGATATCTGTCAACAAACCATATATTAGAATTTTATGAAAATTAGAAATTAGTTATAATAGTATTCTAAAGGATCAATAAATTAGTCAATTTAGCCTCTATTTTTAATTATATTAACTCTTAGGTAAATAAAGTACGCAAAATGGTCCCGAATAAAATTATAAAACGGTCCTTCGACTATAGGGTGTTGCTTTGTTGAGTCTCTCAATTATTAAAAGTTATAAAATGGTCACCCAACTATTTAGTATGTCCCAAACTCATCATTTTCTGTTAAAAAATTGACAACAGACTGAGTTGGATGTTAACTTGATGATTGAGATATGATAGAATTTGATCGCATAATCTAAAAAAAACTATTATATCTCAGTCAACAGGTTAACATCTAGCTCAGATTATTGTCAACTTTTTTTATGAAAAAAGACGAGTTTGGAACATACTCAATAGTCGGGCGACCATTTTGTAACTTTTAATAGTCGGAGGACTCAACAAAGTAACACCCTATAATCGAATGACCATTTTATAACTTTTAATAGTCGAGATACTCAAAAAAGCGTCATTCTATAGTCGAGGAACTATTTGTGTAATTTACCCTAACTCTTAACATTTCATTTTTAGTTAAAATAATCTTTTTCTAATGAAAATGGTTATTTGACTAATATTCATTGTGTATTCCTAACAATATATTTTCGTATATATTTAATTATTGATGTGACATATATTATACCAATAATTAAGCAATTGTGAAAATGTTGGGTTAACAACAAGTATTGACTGTTAATGAACTAACAATTTCTTTCTAAAAAGGATCATTTCAACAAAGAAAAAAAAAGATGTCGAGGAATAAAATGCTTACAAAATAAGTATCAAAATGACTATTCAAGTAAACATTAAGGATGAATTTTAATATTAAATCTTTACGTTATTTAATGATTAGTTTATGCTTTTTGATGATCTTAAAAAATGATTGATTAATATTATCAATCTGCTTTAATTTTTTATAGACATTTATTTTTTTGAAATTAAGATTTTTGTCACATTTCTTCTTTATTCATTCAACGACGGTAATTGTTATCACTGATTCAAAAATTTCGAAGAGGGATGGGAAGAAAATAAGGTAAGGAAGGAGTCAACTAAGAAATAGTTTGATTATTTTAAAAAGAATAATGAATTTGGGTTTGTATATACATAATTGTTTTCAATTTGAAGTTTTCAAAAATTATGAGTACTTTAATATATATTATATAAAAATAAAGAAGAACAGCAATAATTAATTAAAACGATATATTTTTTATTGGTAAATTAAATATTTTCATAAGTTAATCTTACGAGATAATACAACGTTAACTATTAATGAAAACAATCTTTAAGTGACTTTAGTAGTTAAAGAGAACATTATTATTTTAAAGGTCATGAATTCAAGTAATTGTGTTTGTGTGTGTATATATATTGTCAATCGTTAAGAAAAATTTTAAACATATATTATATTATAATTATCTTAGACAAATAAAAATAATATTGATGAAAACCAATCACAAGTAAACAAAAAGTATTCTATATAAAAAATATTAAAATATAAAACTAAAGTTTATATATTGTGACTTGAGAAAATAAAATAATAAAGGAAAGAATAGAGAAAGATTTTATTTTTATAATTATTAAAGATTGATTTATTTTTATTAATTACATTGATTTAAATTTTTTGAGTGTTTTTAATAGTATAAGATAATGTTATTTTCTCAAAAAAAATTAACTTCAAATATTTATAAAAAAAAAGAGTGTGCCGTTAATTTGTTTTGAATATATATTATCTTATAAATATTTTAAATTATTCAAAATTACTTATTGATTCAAGAGGTGATGTATTAGATTTTTAATTTAAAATTAAAGATTTGAATTTTAGGGTAAAGTACAAGAATGGTTCCCAATTATAGGTACTATTTTATTGAGTCTCACGATTATTAAAAGTTATAAAATGGTCTTCAACTATAGGGTGTTACTTGTTGAGTCCTCTTACTATTAAAAGTTATAAAATGATCATCTGACTATTTATATGTTTCAAACTCTCCTTTTTCATAAAAATATTGATGGTCTTTTGAGCTTGATGTTAACTTGTTGACTGAGATATGATAAAATATAATTCTATAATCATTTGAGGTGTATTTTATGGATCGAGTCTTCGTTTACATTATGTCGTTGAGTCAGTACTTGAAATATTATACCGTTGAACTAATGCTTAAAAGTAACGACGATGCCATAAACATTATTAAAATATAATTTTATCATATTTCAATCAATAGGTTAACGTACAACTCAAATAACCATAATTTTTTTAATAGAAAATGGCAATTTTATAACATATAAATAATCAAGTGATCATTTTGTAATTTTTAATAGTCGAAGACTCAATAAAACAATAATACATATTCTAATAAGAGAAAATAACTTCAGTGACCGAAAATGCCTTATAATATACGATTTTAACCAACTTTTTTTATATTTGCGAAAATGACCAACAAATTCGCAACGCGATCTCGAATTCGCAACGCGAATATGTAAATCGCATTGCGATTTTACGAATTCGCGTTGCGATTTTTCAAATTTGCAACATGATTTTCAAATTCGCAATGCGAATATGTAAATCGCAACGCGAATCTGTAAATCGCAACACAAAAGTCAAATTCGCAACGCGATTTCCAAATTCGCAACGTGATTTACAAATTCGCAACACTGAATTTCAAATTCGCAACTCGATTTCTGAATTCGCAACTCAATTTTCGAATTCGTAACACGAATTTTAATTTCGCAAAAGGTTTTATTTTCACAACACACATATTTTGGGTATATAACTACGCAGCAGCAGCAACTCATAACCTAAATCCCTAAATCGCAACTCATTCCATCTCCATCTATCACTCTCTTCGGCGACATCCGTTCCTATATCCAACGACATCCTTCCCCATCTCTATTTTTTTTACATAATTTTATTTCTATATAATTTTTCAATTATTTCTCTCCCAAATTATCAACTATCAACTTAATAAAGGTATGTTCTTCTCTAAGTTAGTGATGATATGTAGTTTATAGCTCGTTTGTTTAGTAAATTAATTTACAATTTGTAGAATGAAATCATTTAATGTTGATCATGTTTGGATAGATTTGTGTTTTGGAGGGTCATGGGAGAATGTTCATGGTGTTTTACGATATATGTCTTTACCTATGAATCTTCAACTAAAACTGTCATTAAAAAAGTTAACTTATGAAACTCTAATGTTACGTGTTGCAAAGAAATTGAATTTAGAGCCTCTAAGTGAATTTAGGCTATCTTATCAGAGAAAAGGTAAAGTTTATTTGTTAACCGACAATGAAGATGTTGAACGATTCATTGCTTACATTAATGTTTCGCAAGAAGATGATGTTACATTGTATGTTGTTGAATCTAGAAGTAGTGAAGTTGGGTCACTACTGGGTAGTAATCAACTAAGTTCTTCAACCCCAGTTTATGGTGCTCACAATGTACAACGTTATTATCAACCTCAAAATTTAATGGTTCTACCATAATTTTATCACCAAGAAAATTTTGTTTCACCACATTTCCAATACCAAACACAATATCAAACACAATCTCAAAACCCACAACCTTTTCCTAATTCAAATCTCAATCAACTTTCAGCACCAAATTTCAGTTTTCGTATTGACCAGTTAGACGATGATGAGCCAACAGAAAAAATTGTGAGTACTAGTCAGTATTTGAAATTTGATCTTGGTCAATACCCGGACTTTGATCTTCGTAAATACTCGGATTTTGATGATGTTTCAAAAGAAGAAACAAACCTTGCGTGTAATGATTTTGATATTGGTCAATACCCGAATTTTGATGATAAAACAGCTGCTGCCGAGGAAGATGTTGTTGATGATAATGAGGAGGAAGTTACGACTGTGAATGAACATGTTGAACATCCATTCTGTAATTCATATAACCTTTAAGAAAAAGAAGAAGAAGAAGTCCCCGAAGAAAAGAAAAAGAAGAAAATGCCACGGGAGTATAACTGGAATATACTAGAATTACTTCAGATACCGGAAGAAGAGTTGGTAAAGATAGTAGTTGATTGTCACAAAAAAAGTTATTCGTATCAAGAAAGATGATTGTTTTGATACAAAGGAAGACTTGAAGATAGCTTTGTATACGAAATGTGTGGAAGATGGCTATCAACTAAAAGTTAACAAATCAAGCAAATATCGTTTCGAAACAATGTCTATGATTGACAAAAAATGTATGTGGCGTATGATTGCAAAGAGGATAAAAGATTGCGAAATGTTTCAAGTTAGGACTTTTATTGATAAACATACATGTTCAAGAACCCA